TGAAAGACTAAAAATGCCTTATATTTTTTAACATTCAACTTCTCAAAAAATGCCTTATATTTTTGAACGAAAGGAGTATGTATTATTTTTTTTATGCATTTTAAATGATTTGTAGGTTACATTTATGTTTAAAAAGGAGTATTTTGATCCAATAAATATGACTTAATTGTCAATTAACAGTTTAAATGAATGTAAACGAAATTTTTTTAAATAAAAAGGAAGATTGTATTTTGTGGTTAAAGTTAATATGTAATTTAAATCTTGAATTATAAATCCACGAACGATATAAATCCTAAAGTTTTTAAAAGTGTATTCTGAACTCTAAACAAATAAAGTTAGGGCAATTTCGCCCCCATTATTAAGATAAACATCTTTTAAATTGGGAATTAATGTGTAATTTTCACCAAACGAGGGTAAGAGAGAGAAGGAGGGTAGAATTTGACAAAAATTACATATTAAATTCTAATTTGATGGACATTTATTTAAATTTAACAGTGGGGTGAAATTTTCTTAACTTTAATTATGTAGGATTTAGAATGCATCTTTTAAAAGTTTATGGTTTAAATCATCTTTGGATCTATAGTTTAAAGTTCAAATTGTATATTAACACTTTGTGATTATTGATTCTATAATAGGTTTGTATGGTTTTAAAATAGAAATGAGGTATATGTAATTAAAGTAAAATAGATGAAAAATCAATGTGTTTTACTCTTTAAATAAATAAGAATTGATACTATTTTGCCCTTCTCTCCATGTTCATATTCTATCTCCAATCCTCCCTTGTCATCTCTATTTTTCTTTCTTTTCTATTATCTTCTTCCTTCCCCATTCAACTTTCAGGAGGAAGGGAAGGAGAGAGAATAAAAATCTTTTTTTTAATGGAATATTTTGTGTTCTTTACAGTAAAATATTATGATTTATGAGAGAAATTTTGATTTCTTGCAAGATTTTCCTCTCTTGTATCTCACCGGAAGAAAATACCATGACATGTGTGGGGCTGAAGTTAACCAACAATTGAACGTGCATTTTCAGTTCTTTTTTTCTTTTTTTTTTACCCCTAAGCATCAACATGCATCTTCAATTCATTAGTTAGAGTAATGGACATTTTTTAGTAAAAATTTAGATGAATTGGGTTCAAAATTAAGACATATATCCAGGATTAAAAAAAAAAAAGAACATTCTTGTCTAATTATGTACTTGCTATTACCATTAAGTTTCTCTTTTTCTCCCCTGCTGGCCTCAGCAAGCTAAGTCTGCAATTCTCAGCACTTCGTTTTGCTGATTATAAGACTTGTCTATTCATGATGAAATAATTATTTCCGAGAGAAGTGTTTAGAGCTTGAGGCAAGATTTTCCCCAGGCATCATGCAATTAGTGCATGTTCTTCAACTAATAAACGAATCAATAAATGCTGCTGCGTTGCAAAGTCACCTGTAAAAGAGTATGAATCAATGACTTTATAATTTAATGGCATGAAAATGTTCCTATAAGTGGTGGGTCCTGGGTTTAATCCCATTTGTAATTTTGGGCTATTAATGCTTGTTCCTCTAATTGTTTTTTTAAAAGTAAGTGATAATAAGGATCAGAATAAGCAGTATATTGCTACTTGAAATCGAACAACACATTCTTCATGAATTTTGTTCGATCCCTACTTTGTTTCTTTTCTTCTTTTAACGTCTCTGTATTGCAAGATGATTTCATTTTTCTTTACTTTTAGTTTATCTTATTGAGTTTTAAGCAGGCTTTTTTTTTATTTCCCACCCGGTATTCTAGAGAGTGTGGATATCATAAATTCATTACCCACCCACCCCATTCCAAACTAATCTGAATCTCCACATAGATTGAGCCCTTAGTGTGGTAGTTTTGTTTTGTAGATACCACTGGCGAAATACACTTTGTGTGCTTAGCTGCGTACCCTGAGGTTCGAACATGAGACCTTAAGTTAAGCTATCTAAGCCTCTAACTGCTTCGACAAGCGCCCGTTGGTTTTTTAAGTAGACATTTAATTTCATACTATAATCATTTTATTTTTTGCTGGACCTAAATACTTTAGGCCCAACATGAACTTGGGCTAGAGCAATTACCCTTCTTTTGAATTCAATTATCCCGCTTCACATTTTTTTACCTAAAAAAAAAACCCTACTTCACATGTGGTAGCTGCAGATCATTGCATTGCAGGACATGTGTTTGGTAATGGTATTAGTAGAGTTGGTAATTTAGGCCAAGCTAACGAGCCAATTCAAACTCGACAAAAAATTTAGGACCAAGCCAAAAAAAAATAATATTTCAATAGTTAGGCCGTTCAAATAGGTTTAAAAAATTCAGGCTAAGTTCAATCGGGTTTAAGTTTGCTTCGAATACCCAAATAAAAAATATTTTTTACAAAATGTATAAAATATAATAAATATCAATTAATTCTTTAAGTTTTATATCATTTTATATTAAAATATCATATATTTGAGTGCATTACTATAATTTTTTTTAAATTACAAATATTTATATTTTGATATTTTTATTATTTTTAATCAATGAAATATCTTAAATAATATTTAAAATATATTTTAATATTTATTTTTATATTTTAAAACCTAATTTTTTTAAAAAAAAGTTCTGAGTCTTGCACATCATTTGCTTATCAAAAAAAATATATTTTATATTTTAATAAAATAAGATAATTAATTTTAAAGTAAAAAATAAAATTAAAAATAATGGAAAACCTAAATAATATAGGAAGAATCACATTTAAGAACTTAGAAAGACATTTATTCATAAATAAGGAATAATACAAAATAGATTATTATTAAAATGAGAACATGAACTTACTTTTTCTCAAATTGGCCAAATAACTTTCTTCCTAAATCTTTAAATGTAATTATCCCAATGGTATAATATCAAATTAAAAAATTTTTATGTATTTAATTAAAGAAGGTAAAATTATAAGCTCAAGTGCCATTTTTAAACCCTTGAACAAATTAATGTGGATGAAATTACCAACAAATAAAAATAAATACATTTAGTGTCTTACGATATTTTAAATAGAATTGGTTCCAAAAAAAGATATATATATATATGTGTGTGTGTGTGTGTGTAATATATAAGCAATAAAAAATGGAATGAACACAAACACACATAAAATTATTTATATAAAATTAAAAAGAATGAGGACTATGTGAGATTAAAAGTATAATCCCCATCCCCAAATTATCTTTGGAGAGATTTTCTTGTGCATTTTCATTCTCATTAAGAAAAAAAATTCCACAAACAGGGTAGTTGAATCTCAAAATTTGAATATTTAAAGCTTGTTTAGTTTCTATTCTCATTTTTCATTTTCAAAAGCCCTTTTGTAATATAATTTTTAAAATTATTTTTTAAAACAAAATAAAATAAAAATTCATTTGATTATGTTAATTAAAAAATAATTTTATAATTAAAAATAAATCAATAGGATAGTTATAGGTAGTTAATAGTAGTGATTAATAATAACAATTAATTAATGTAACTATAATTTTTAATAATTAAATGTAGTGTATTTTAAAAATAAAAAAATAATAAAAACATCTTGAAGTTGTTTTTATTTTTTCTTTTTTTTAAATGATAATAATTTTAAAAATAATTAAATGAAAAATACTTATTTAAATAAATTTTAAAATTTTTTTATTTTTAAAAACAAAATAATTTTTAAAAATAGAAAACAAACAAACCCTTAATTTTTGCCAGTCCTGGTTTTATTATTCTCAGTTCTATTATTTTTAAAAACTGAGAAAACTTGGTAAAATATTTGAAAAAGTTCTGAGTCTTGCACATCATTTGCTTATCAAAAAAAATATATTTTATATTTTAATAAAATAAGATAATTAATTTTAAAGTAAAAATAAAATTAAAAATAATGGAAAACCTAAATAATATAGGAAGAATCACATTTAAGAACTTAGAAAGACATTTATTCATAAATAAGGAATAATACAAAATAGATTATTATTAAAATGAGAACATGAACTTACTTTTTCTCAAATTGGCCAAATAACTTTCTTCCTAAATCTTTAAATGTAATTATCCCAATGGTATAATATCAAATTAAAAAATTTTTATGTATTTAATTAAAGAAGGTAAAATTATAAGCTCAAGTGCCATTTTTAAACCCTTGAACAAATTAATGTGGATGAAATTACCAACAAATAAAAATAAATACATTTAGTGTCTTACGATATTTTAAATAGAATTGGTTCCAAAAAAAGATATATATATATATGTGTGTGTGTGTGTGTGTAATATATAAGCAATAAAAAATGGAATGAACACAAACACACATAAAATTATTTATATAAAATTAAAAAGAATGAGGACTATGTGAGATTAAAAGTATAATCCCCATCCCCAAATTATCTTTGGAGAGATTTTCTTGTGCATTTTCATTCTCATTAAGAAAAAAAATTCCACAAACAGGGTAGTTGAATCTCAAAATTTGAATATTTAAAGCTTGTTTAGTTTCTATTCTCATTTTTCATTTTCAAAAGCCCTTTTGTAATATAATTTTTAAAATTATTTTTTAAAACAAAATAAAATAAAAATTCATTTGATTATGTTAATTAAAAAATAATTTTATAATTAAAAATAAATCAATAGGATAGTTATAGGTAGTTAATAGTAGTGATTAATAATAACAATTAATTAATGTAACTATAATTTTTAATAATTAAATGTAGTGTATTTTAAAAATAAAAAAATAATAAAAACATCTTGAAGTTGTTTTTATTTTTTCTTTTTTTTAAATGATAATAATTTTAAAAATAATTAAATGAAAAATACTTATTTAAATAAATTTTAAAATTTTTTTATTTTTAAAAACAAAATAATTTTTAAAAATAGAAAACAAACAAACCCTTAATTTTTGCCAGTCCTGGTTTTATTATTCTCAGTTCTATTATTTTTAAAAACTGAGAAAACTTGGTAAAATATTTGAAAATATCTTCACTCTACAGAGTTAGACAACTTTACCTTTAGATCGTATGCCATACGTGGCCGGTGGCCGGCGATAGTGGACGGAGATAGCGGACAGAGCTTTCAAGTTTCAACTTTCATTTCTGTACATGAAGGTTATCGGAAAGCGGCGGTTCTCATTATTCCCACGTGCCTAGAACACACATTTTCTCGCTTCTATAATACTATAACTTTGCCTCAATGCCGACTATCATATCCATAGAGTATAGAGCACACATTTTTTAAATTCTCTCTCATCTCTCTCTCTCTCTCTCTATATATATATATGATTGTGCCAGCGAAAAGAAGAGAAAGTGGAACAAGGGTGGGGACGAGAGCCATTGCAAAGATAGATAAGTTAAGGGCTCCACCAACGGCTAGAGACTGAAGGAATCTATTTTACAAGCAAGGATAGAAGAAGATGAGTAGATGGAGGGCGCAACATAAAAGGCTTGTAATGCTCTTCTTCATCCCTTTACTTTTGATTATGGTGTTATTTGCTATTGAGAGCTTCATGTGAGCCTCTTGTATATGTTCTTTGTTTGAGAATTTTTCCTCCTGTAGTTTTTGAGTGTATATATCGTAGTTAGTCATCCCGTTGTTTATTTTCTATTCTTGGTTTCTATATACTTGATATTCGGAATCTCACGTGAGGATAAAATTACTTTGAAGTTTCACGTCTTTTATTAGAATTATCAATAACACTGGATAGTTATTAACTATTGCTATTTAGTAAAAACCCCATTAACAAATTTTCTCGTAATAATTGACAACTTCAATTTATTAGATTGACAATTTTGATGAAGAGCACAGGAATTCAAAGTAATTTTAAGATTTCATGGAACTTTTCTATATTTAAATTCCTTGCGTGGAACCTTAGAGTGGATTGGATTTCCCTCTCATATTTAGCTTTCAAAGTGTTTATATTACTTCTGTTAACAAAAATGTATATATTACTATTTTCTAATTGCAATATTTCAATTTCTTGTATTGTAGTATTACGACAATTGATTTTGGTTCCAAGTGTCTAAATACTACCTCTTCTCTGTTATAAACTTGCTTTCTATTTTCTGTCATATTTCTCTTAACATGATAATTAATTTTCAAGGATATGTATTTAGATTTGGAATTAGTTTTACTCGAAACATAAAATTACAAGAACGCCAATTCACTCCCTCTAGGTGTGTTTCACATCCATACCAGTTCACTGTCTGACATTTATGTCTAATTATGATGTTTCAAGGATCAAATGCGGTCATTCAACGTGCTTCTTCAGACTTTGTTAGATCATGCTGCTCCAACATCATTTCTATACATATGTATATATGTACTTTGCCAGCTCTTTCGATAGCATTAATGGCAATCATTCCTTGCGTGCCAGTTCTATTTTTCAATATGCTTTTATTCTTCTCTGCATTGGCCAGTGCAACCGATATTATTACACATTCTCAGCCACTTGTTGATGATGGGAAATCCACCTTGGTGTCTGGAGATGGAAGATTTGAACTGGGATTTTTCAGCCCAGGTAGTTCCACAAACCGCTATGTTGGACTTTGGTACAAAAACATCCCAGTAACTGTTCTCTGGGTCGCCAACCGTGAGAAACCAGTCAAAGACAAGCTTGGCATGTTGAGAATAAACAAAGAGGGACATCTTGAACTTGTCAGCCACAATGAGACTCTTGTTTGGGTGGCAAACTCAACCACAAAGGCCTTGGATAATCCAATCGTGCAGCTTTTAGGCTCTGGAAACTTGGTACTAAGAGACGAGAAAGACCAAAATCCACAAAACTACTTGTGGCAAAGTTTTGATTATCTCTCTAATGTTTTTTTGCCAGGAATGAAGCTTGGATGGGACCAGAGGACTGGTCTAAACCGGCATCTAATAGCATGGAAGAACTGGGATGACCCTTCTCCGGGAGATTTCACATGTGAACTCATGCTTCACAATTTCCCAGAAATAGTTACTTGGCAAGGTCGAACAGAATTTTACAGGAGTGGCCCTTGGAATGGTGATCACTTTGTTGATACTCCTTCATCAATGAAGATTTTACTTTATAATGCAACGTTTGTCTCCAACAAGGATGAGGTGTACTACATGTACAAACCCTTAAATGAGTCAATGACTTCTATCAGAGTCTTGAACCAAACAAGAAACTCTCTGCAAAATCTCATGTGGATTGAAGAGGATCAAAGCTGGAAATCTTTTGGTGATGTTCCAAGAGATAATTGTGGAAGATATAATCTTTGTGGTGCTTATGGAATCTGTGCTATTGCTGACTCAACGTTATGCCAATGCTTGAGAGGATTTGAGCCAAAATCTCCCAAAAATTGGGACGTCTATGACTGGACAGGAGGGTGTGTTCGCAGTGAACCTTGGAGTTGTAAGGTGAAAGGAAAAGACAATTTTCTTAAATATAATAACCTTAAATTACCAGATACTACACATACGTGGGTCAATTCAAGTATGACACTTGAGGAATGCAAAGTCAAATGTTGGGAAAATTGTTCTTGTACTGCTTATGCTAATTCAGATATTAGAGAAGGAGGTAGTGGCTGTGCCATGTGGTTTGGTGATCTACTTGACTTGAATCAAATGTCAAATGATGCTGGTCAAGATATATATATTCGCCTTGCTTCTACAGATCATATAGGTAATTATATTCAATTTAGTGTTATATGTATTCATTTTTTTAGTGTTTAGTTACCTCACTAACTATTTGTACATTTCTCTGTGTGAAGCTAGCCATGAAGGTAGTGCTAATACGTACAAGATAAAGGTATCTTTGATAACAGCTTTTGTTTTAGCACTTGGGATGCTTTTAACCTTCCTCTATATATATAAGAGCAGAAGAAAGTCTAAAAGTAAGCATTCTCAAGTTTGATTAATTGCCTTTCTTTGTTTATTCTTTTTTAAAGGGTATATAAGGATGAGTTTTAAATCAAACGAAATTAGGCAGCGTGCATTACTAAGGGTGGAGGGAGGGAGGGAAGGGGACCAGCATGGGCTACGCCCTTCAAGATTTATGAAAGCTCTATAATGTGTGTGTGTGTGTGTGTGTTTTTTTTTTTTTAATTTATCTTGGCCCCTTATAATTAAATCCTTACGTTGCCTTTGCAATATATTTATATTTAGGGAAGAAAGATATGATTAGTGTGCTTTTGTGTTTAAAAAAGAAATGACTTATTTATGCCTTTTAGTTGGCTTGAATGAATAAAATATTTCCTTAGTTAATTAAGAAAACCTTGCCCGTAGAAAATACTGATGAAGTCCCAGAAGCAGATATGGAGCTTCCTCTCTATGACTTTGCTATAATAGCTAGTGCTACACACAATTTCTCAGATGACAGTAAGCTTGGCCAAGGTGGTTTTGGACTGGTATATAAGGTAACTGAGCTTGCAATAAACCAACAAATAAGATTGTAAAGCATAAGATTTTCACTCTTTTGATTTATAATGTTGTAGATGACATTTTTTAATGGTTAGGGTACATTAGCTGATGGTCAAGAAATTGCTGTGAAGAGACTTTCACAGAATTCTCACCAAGGAATGAAAGAATTCAGAAATGAAGTTATGTTGTGTGCCAAACTTCAGCATCGGAATCTTGTCAAAGTTCTTGGTTGTTGTATTCAAGGAGAGGAGAGAATGCTCGTTTATGAATACATGCCTAATAAGAGTTTAGATTCATTTATTTTTGGTTAGTGTCTTGGAAATTTATTATTGATTGCTTTTAAATTCAATTTGGATAACAACTAACTTTTGTGCTTTATTTTGGAATTTTTATAGGTTCTCCTATCCAAAGGAAAGGCTTAGATTGGTCCAAGCGTTTCCATATTATATGTGGAATTGCTCGAGGACTTATGTATCTTCATCAAGATTCTAGATTACGAATCATTCATAGAGATTTGAAAACAAGTAATATATTACTAGACAATGAATTAAATCCAAAAATATCAGATTTTGGTTTGGCAAAAACATTTGGAAAAGATGAAAATCAAGAAAATACAAGGAGAGTTATTGGCACATAGTGAGTATCTCTTAAATACATTATGATTTATATTTCTACACATAATTGAATATAGTATTAACACATTCATAACTTATTCATTATTTCAGTGGTTATATGGCACCTGAATATGCGATCTATGGATTATTCTCCATGAAATCTGATGTGTTCAGCTTTGGAATTTTACTACTTGAAATAGTGAGTGGGATGAAAATTGGAGCATTCTCGTTGTCAAAGCAGAGTGTTAACCTTATTGGGCATGTTAGTAATGGACCTAACTACATTTTTTTCCTCTTCAATGAATTAGAAAATGATAGATGTATGGAATTTTTGTAGGCTTGGAGGTTGTGGAAGGAGGGAATCCCACTTGAATTGATTGATTCCCATTTCGAAGAATCTTGTATTGAATCAGAAGTACTACGGTGCATCCATGTCGGTCTTCTTTGTATGCAAAACCATCCTGATGATAGGCCAAACATGACATCTGTGGTTGTAATGTTAAACAGCGAAGTTGACTTGCCTCCGCCTAAAGAGCCTGGTTTCCTCTTAGAAACGATTCCAGTCAGAAGAGGATCTTTTCTTGGCAATCATACTACAGTTTCAATAAACGAAATTTCTATCACCCAGTTAGATCCTAGATGAGGGATTGTTTTGCTTGGTTTTTTGTTCTTTTTTTTTTAAATTGGTTTGCTTAGTTTTTATTCTGTCGGAATCCATGGTACGAAATCCTGTATTAGCAATTTATAGCAAAGCAAGATGATGTTGATTATTAAAAAAACAAGTAGTACAGCTTTGTATTGCTATATATACGTTGTTCTCTTCCACAGATTTGGCAAACAAATATTATCTGAGATTAAATATAGTGCATAATAGATGACTTCATATTTTACAGAGGCCGACGCGGGATTTTCCTATGTGGCAACCATCAATCTTCTTCGACTATTGAAATAACAGTGGTGCTTTTTTAGTCTGTGTCTTGGTCTGCAAAATTTTCCTTGAAGATTATTACAGAAGACAAAACATCAGATTTTATAGTTATGCGGAAGGGAAAGTCATAACCCAAACCCAAAGGGAACAAACAATGTTGAAAGGAGAGAGTCCACCGGTATCATAAAAAGACAAAGAAGAAAAGTTTTTAATTGAACTTGAATACATGATAAACAGAACACTTTCGGTTATTAAGGCACAAAAGTAGATATCTAGATTTGGATCCCATGCCTGTCCCAACTACATGCATCCAGCACCTGTCTCCACGTGTTCTCATCACATGCGTCTCGAGACAATCAACAGCTTTAAAGAGTTGATTCAACCGCAGTTGGTATTCACTCAATCCTCCCCTGTTTTTCGTTGCCTACGTTGATAAGATATACCTTTGATTACCTTCCTTATATTCTGGGCTAAAAAAAAAAGATTACCTTCCTTATTTGGTGCCATCAAACATTAATGGGTGCGTCTTCTATGTCTCTCGCCATATTTTCAGAACTTTCTTAAACAATTATCCTGCACTCCATCTACCTTTCTATGCTATGTTCTTCTTCTCTAGCCTCACCACTAGGTGTGGTTTTCTTTCTAGTAGTGTTCTTGTGCTGTGTTCTTCTTCTATCCAGTCGCCGACCGTGAAAGACAATGTGCTACAGTAGAACATGAGCTGAACTAGCTCCCACACTTGAAATATCAATTTTTTAGAATTAAAAACTCTTTTTTTGTTGTTGTAAACTTGTAATACGATGAATGGGTTGGAAGATTCGCAATATGAGGATTGGAGATGGTGTTTGATTCGTCATTTGCAAAACATGAAGATGTAATTAGATGATGTATATGGAGTAAGGAATATAAATCAATGGAAACGGATGCGCATCTACCTTCTTTTTGTTTCTTCTTCTAATTTTTAGCTCATTTTATTATTTTCTTTTTAATGCTTCTGAACTATTTACCTTTAAATAAAAAACATATAAATTCACGTTTTGAAGCTTGTGACTTTATGGGCTTACGTGTTATCACGTTTTAGACAAAAAAAAAAATGTAAAGAGAAAAATTGGGTGAACACTGAATGTGGTTGCATAAATTCTTTAAAACCATTGACTATATTGATAGCATTAGATAAGGACACGTGGAGCTAGGCACTGGATGCATCTAGCTGGAATAGGCATGGAATCCAAGTTCAAGTAATCTTGTTTGTCTCGTTGTCTCAAATTAGAGAACACTTAAAAAAAAAATTATTTTAAAATATAAAATATTTTAAATAGGTTAAAGTTTTATTAAATACATTAATTTTAATATTAATTTTTTTATAATTAATTTTTATTTCTTTTTTTTAATATATTAAATAATGAATATTTTTAAAATTTTATATTTTTATTTTAAAAAAATAAAGTTGTTAAGTATATTTAACAATATTTATTAATATATAAAATTTTATTTAAAAGTGTCTTATAATTTGAGACGAAAAAAGTATCATTTTAACATACTAACTACTCTTTTGATCCTCTATAGTCTATATATATAAGATAGTGATAGAAGATTAATTTTAATCTTATTTATAAAATACTTCATAATTTTTTATATTCATCTTAACTTTTTTTTGTCCTTATTAAACATTAAAAAAAGGTACTAATAACATTTTTTTTGTCCGTAGATATGAAAATTTATTGAATTTTCAAACAGATTTAATAGGATTTAAAATTTTTTTATTTCTGATAAAATATATTAAAAATAATTTATAAATAGTATTAAAGAGAGTATTGGCTAGAACTTCGACTTGAATGGTTGCTAGCAATTTTAAAAATATTGGATGAAAAAAATAATTGTATTTTCTTTCTTTCTATTTTTTTGGCATAGTGCATTCTAGGCTCTCTCCACATCGAGCTAAGGGAACTTACTGGGAGTTGGAATAAACTAGATTAATGAGAGATGAGACTCTTTCAAGTAGAAATTCTATCATCAATGCTTTTCATTTTTAGAACTAGAATTCAAAATACCATATTAAAATGATACAATTCTCTTACTAATTGAACCGAGCATTCCATGATTGAGAAATAATTGTGTTTGATTATGTTTTGTTACTATAATTAATTATTTATATGATTTAGTTTATTTGAGGGAAAAATGATAAAGCCTTTTTTGATTGATGAAGGCCATGAATAAAACATGCACGCTTTAAAAAATAATAAATGTTAAAAATATATTTGTGTGGTAAAACACACACACACATTATGATTATATTGCAACCGGGCCAAATAATTTTCTTTCTTGAGAAAGGCTGATCTATTGCACGGGCTGGAGCTCGGTCTTCCCGTCTTCTCAAATCATCACTCCATTCTTGACTGGGAGTTTCATTTTATTGCTCTTGCAATGGGGAAAGCATTGATCTGGAGCCGCAGGTTTGAAACCTTAGGCTCCGTTTGGTTCGGAGGGAGGGGAGGGGAGGGGCTCCCCTCCCCTCCCCTCATTTGGTTAGGAGGAGGGGAGCCCCTCCCCTCCCCTCCCCTCATTTGGTTAGGAGGAGGGGAGGGGAAATTTTTAAAATTTTCCCTCCCCTCCCCTCCAAAGCCTCCCCTCCAAATTGGGGGGGAGCTCCCCTCCCCTCCCTTCCCCCTCCTCCCCCTCCCCTTCCCTTCCCTCCTCCCCTCACCTCCCCTCCCCTCCCCTTCCCTCCCCTCGAACCAAACAGACCCTTAGCCTAAAGAATCGTATTTTCAAATTTAAAATCCTCAATCAATAAATTTATTCCTTCATCAGGAAATGAATGGTTTTTGGAAATTTAATGGTCCTGAATTACCGTATGAGGCAGACTCCATTGCTGCATTGCCCAGTCTTTTCCACTTGCTCTTGGAGGGAACTTTTGGGTTCAGAAGATGGAAGCTTGCAACTTTGTTTTTCCTTCACCCAGGAATTTCCACGAACTGAAGCAGCTTTCTTAATTTGTTTCCGTTTGTCTCATTGAAGTATCTATTTGATAAACGTGTGTCGTTCTGGTTGGTTGCGGCCTAAGTTTTAGAGTTTAAAGCCCTTTCATTTCAATGATAGTAGCCTAGCCTACCTGTGATTTTTTGCTTCCATTGTTGCCGAGAAAGGCTTGGTCTGGTGGATTAGGGCAATGGATTTAAAAAATAAAATAAAATCAAGGGATATCTACATGAAGTTAGGAAATAGACTGCGTTTGTGGACTAAAACTTAGAATTTTGGCTTGGAAAAAAAATCAAGTGCCATCTACATACAATTAGATTAGATATATTAAAATTAGCCTTGGGAAAGTAATTGGAATTGACTTCAAAAGAAAAAAAAAAACGTAGGGAGCTCGCAAATTTTGACTGGTGGCCTTTCCGAAATGAACACCTTTTTGTTTCTTGCAACCTTTTTCCTAATGCTTGGGTTTCAACTAAAAAACAAGATGTGTGGTAGTTGAACCTTCCTTACCTTGACCTTACTACAAGGATTTCATGGATCTCTGTACACATACAAGGATCCATTAGTTTATTGACAGAAAACAATAACATTGAATTTGAAGTATCAGTTTTGAATTTCACATATATTGTCACTATCTTATTATTATTGTTTTTTTGGTAACATGTCACTATCTTATTCATGCATTATAAAGTCATTGTCTTATTCTAAGGTTAAAAAATCATCCACCGTGAAGCAAAAGAGTACGATATTTCTGCCTTCGAGAGCACCAAGTCAACGTGCATACTTTTGGTGGGCTTGCGTTTCAACTTTTTGCCATATCAGCATCTGTTATATTCATTTTTTTTCCTTTAGAACAATTCATTAAATCAATTACTATTCTACCTAATGTGTAAGGTCTTGTGTAGACCAATTCATTAAATTAATGGCTATTCTTCCTTATGTGCCTGTTCTTCCATATCTGCTTTTCTTCTTCTCCGGATTTTCTTTTGCAACTGATACCATTACTCGCTTTGAGTCTTTTTCTGATGGCAAGACCTTGGTTTCTAAAAACGGAATATTTGAATTAGGTTTCTTCAGCCCAGGGAGTTCCACAGACCGCTATGTTGGAATCTGGTACCACAAGATCCCGGAGAGAACTGTTGTTTGGGTTGCTAACCGTGATAGACCCATCAAAAACAACTTTGGCATGTTGAGCATAAACAGAGAGGGACATCTACTTCTCAGCCATAATAAGACTATTGTTTGGCTGGCAAATTCCACCACAAGGGCCTTGAGTCCGATTGTGCAGCTTTTGAGCTCTGGAAACTTGGTGCTAAGAGATGGGGAAGATCAAAAGCCCCAAAACTACTTGTGGCAAAGCTTCGACTATCCTTCTGATACGATTTTGCCAGGAATGAAGTTTGGATGGGACCTGAGAACTGGGCTTAATCGACGTTATACAGCATGGAAGAATTGGGATGACCCTTCTTTTGGAGACTTTACAGCAGAGCTTGTACTACACTGTTATCCTGATTTAGTAAACTGGCAAGGCCCAACAGAGTATGTAAGGAGTGGCCCCTGGAATGGTGTTCGGTTCAGTGGCATCTCTTATGCGACGAGCAATCCACTTTATGAAGCAAGGTTTGTATGGAATAAAGATGAGATTTATTCAGTGCATAATGTCATAAATGAGTCACTGATTACTAGATTTGTCTACAACCAAACATTATACTCACTACTGGATACAATATGGAGTGAAGATGATCAAAGGTGGATTACATTTAGTTTTGCACCAATTGATAATTGTGATAGATATAATCGTTGCGGCCCAAATGGAAACTGTGTCTTGGGGGACACACCAATATGCCAGTGCTTAACCGGATTCTTGCCAAAATCACCAGAAAATTGGAAGGCAATGAATTGGGCTGAAGGATGTGTCCGCAATAGATCATGGAGTTGCAAGGAAAAAAATAGGGATTATTTTGTCAAATTTGGTAGGCTGAAATTGCCAGATACTACATATACTTGGGTGAATAAGAGTATGACACTTGAGGAATGCAAAGCCAAATGCTGGGAAAATTGTTCTTGTAATGCTTATGCTAATTCAAATATCAAGGAAGGAGGTAGTGGTTGTGCTATGTGGTTCGGTGATTTAATTGATATAAGGCAGATTCCCTTTGATGATCAAGATTTATATATTCGTCTAGCTTCTCCAGAAACAGGTGCGGCCTTTTAGTGATCATTTTTCAATCATCTTTCAATTGCTTTAGCAACCTCAACTTTTTGTCTATTAACTGTTAGTTCATTTCCTTGTGAAGCGAAACATGATGAAGCTAATGGAAATAAGACAAAAGTGATTGTTGTAACAGCAACCACTGTATTGGCTGTTGTGATGCTTTTGGCTCTGTTTTGCATTTACAAGTGCAGAAGAAACTCTATAGGTAAACATTCCCAATGCAGCTCCCTTTACTTTCCCCTCTTTTTCCCATCTTCTTACAACTTCTAGGGGTTGTCTGGAGGGTAAGTTTTGAATTGAACATGATTGAGCTTCGTGCCATTATGTTTCCAAAAGAACAGAATGATTTCCTTTCCATTTTTCGTTCTTTTATATTTCTTTCGTTTAGTGTATCAGAGTGTACTAAGAAAAATCTGGTTAACAGTGAACAACGAAAAAGACTTCTGAGGAAATATGGAACTACCCATGAATGACATTGCTAAAATAGCTAATGCTCCTGATAGTTCTTTTGGTATCTATTTATTTCATTTAGTTTTGAACTAAGAAAACCTCGTTAGCAGCAAACAAGAAGGAAGGTTCTGAAGGAAATATGGAGCTAAAAACCTTGTTGGCAGTAAACAATGAAGAAGGCTATGAAGGAAATATGGAGCTACATATCTATGACCTAGCAGTAATAGCTAACGCTACTAATAACTTCTCATCTGACAACAAGCTTGGCCAAGGTGGCTTTGGGCCAGTATACAGGGTAAGTATGCAATTAACTTGTTAATAAGAATAAAAAATTACAGTCAACTTTCTACCTTATGATGTTACGCATTGACAATAATTTATATGATGTAAAAATGGTAGGGTATGCTTGCAGACGGACAAGAAATTGCGGTGAAACGGCTTTCACAAAGTTCTTACCAAGGGTTGTGTGAATTTAAGAATGAAGTCAAATTGTGTGCCAAACTTCAGCATCGTAATCTTGTTAAGGTCCTTGGTTGTTGCGTTCAAGGAGAAGAAAAAATGCTAATATATGAATACATGCCCAACAAGAGCTTAGATTCATTTATTTTTGGTATGTATGGCGAAAGAAATATCAGTTAGCAGACTTTAATCCTTTTCTTTTGTTTCTCCTTGGATAATGACAAGTATCATTTCATTAAAAATTTGTAGGTTCTGAAAGTAAATTTCTAAATTGGTCCAAGCGCTTTCACATTATTTGTGGAATTGCTCGAGGGCTTGTATATCTTCATCAAGATTCTAGATTAAGAATCGTCCATAGAGACCTTAAAGCAAGTAATATATTATTGGATAGTGAATTAAATCCAAAAATCTCAGATTTTGGCTTGGCAAGAATATTTGGAGGGGATCAAATTGAAGATAATACAAGGCAAATAGTTGGTACATAGTAAGTATGCTTTATTATATTTTTAAATTTGTATATATGCACACTATTGAATATGATATTAACTACTTAATGACTTATGATAGTGGTTATATGGCTCCTGAATATGCAATTCATGGACTGTTCTCTATCAAATCTGACGTATTCAGCTTTGGAGTATTACTGTTGGAAATAGTGAGTGGCATGAAAAATAGGGGCCCTTTCTTGCCAAGCCAAAGCGTTAATCTTATTGGACATGTTAGTAACAAGAAACCTAACTTTACTCTTCTATTTACTTAAATTTGTAACTGATTTAATGTTTTGAATTGTTGTAGGCATGGAGGTTGTGGAATGAGGGAATCCCACTAAAATTCGCTGATGAACATTTGGGGAACTCTTGCACTGAATCAAAAGTATTACGGTGCATTCACATTGGTCTTCTTTGTTTGCAATGCCATGCTAATGATAGGCCAGACATGACATCTGTGGTTATAATGTTGAGTAGTGAGAGTGTCTTGCCCCAACCTAAAGAACCAGGTTTCCTTTTGGAAAACATCTCAATTAAAGGAGAATCCTCTAACAATCATACAACTCCTTCAAGTAATGAAATATCTATCACCTTGTTAGCAGCCAGGTAAAGTCAATTTTAATTCTTGATTTTGTACCATTAATGAGCGAACTCTTGAGGAAAAGACTACCTATTTGTAATGATGCTAGACAATGTTGATTCTGATCAACTCTCTTGATTCGGCACTGCGCTTGTAGTGTAAATAAAAATATTTTCTCCTTTGATTGTGTTCTTTTTCCATTTAAAAAAATAGCACCGGACAAATCAAAGAATACATTAGGCATGAAAATTGCACGAACTTGTACTGTGTATCTATGAACTAAAACTTTTAGTAACATTAGCTTTTGGAAAAGTTGTTGGAATTGACTTCTAAAGATATAACAGGTAGCTCGTAAATTTTGATTTATAGCATCTTGAAATGAACCCTTTTCTTTTTCTTCCAAAATTTTTCTATCTAAATTATCGTGGCTTGAACCGTATAACGAAGAAGATATGTGGTAGAAATGATTAAACTCATGTTACATGACTGTGTCTTAAACAATTTTTATCAGTTTTTTATGTTTAAGATAAAGTTGGTTTCTTTTACACATTAGGACAAGCAAAAAAAAAAAAAAAACGGCTTGATGATCTATGACGATTTTTTAATTAAAAAAAGAAAAAGAATTTCAAATAAGTGGTCATTTTCTTATTGATACATTAAAAAGTCCTCTCACGTGTGGAAAAAGAATATCACGCCAAGGGTGTGCACATGTGTTTGACTTTTCTTGTACAGACCAATTCACTAAATACAACTAATGATGCCATAACCCAGTTTGAATCTTTTCTAGCGATGCCTTGATTTCATAAAACAGATATCTTAGTCAATTCACACCTCTATATCTATATTTTTAATTTCATCTATATTAATATTATTAATTAATGAAAGTCATTTTGTGAATTCAGCTTATGAATAGTTCGAATTTGATAACTGTGACGTACTTATTGGGTCTTATGTTTTATACATCCGCTTCTTTAATAAGTTTTTTTTAAATATCTCATTAAAATTTCAAAAAGATTTTGTTGGCAAGAAAAAAAAAATTAAAATGCCCTTTCTCCCGAAGGTTTTTAAAAAGAAAAAACAAATGAAGCACAGAGAAGGGACTTGCAAAGATCACGGTCTGACCTCCGACAACCACCCTTAGCCTCATCTCTCCTCCCTCCATCTTCCCTCCTTCATCAAACTCCCGCCATTTGGGTTGCACAAAAGACTCATTTGATAAAATTTCAGCTTAATTTAAAGTTTGATATTTTTTATAAAAAGGATTTAGTTAAGTAATTCATAATCTAGTCTGGTCCTAATATAACTCAAACTAAATAGGATTAAATTGGTACAGGAAGATTTGGAGATTGTTCCGATCTTGTTCGGCATTTCACTTTTGCTTTCCTTTTTAATTTATGAGAGGTAGTAATTTATTTTAACATAACAAACTCAATTAACATTATAAAATTATTTATAGTCATATAAAAATTTATCATAACAATAACAATTATAAATTCATAACATTTTTCAGCAACAATAAAAAATATTTCAATTATAACACAACTTATTCAAATTAAACAACTTTCAACAATATTAAATAACTTTTAACATGTTTAAAATTTATTACACTAAGTTAACAATAAATTTCATCAATAAAAAGAGAAAAATGGAGTTGATAAATGTTAAAATTTTACTCAATATTCATGACTTCATAAATATAAAACAAAAAAAAATACTAATTATTATTATAAATTAACTCATTGTAATAATAATTAATAAATTAATTATAATCATATTAAATAAATTTATAGGATCAGACTAAATTAAATAATCCAAATGTTCAGTCTTTTATCCAATCTAACTTAAAAAAAGAATTTGATTTTTTTAGCTTTGAAAAACCAATTTTTACCTGAACCAAACATGACTATGTTTGTCTTGGACTGGGCTGGACCGCATTAAATTGGAGGATTTTTGCACTGTCCTTGCACCACCTATGCCATTAGAACCATCGAGATATGTTGTGAGCCTGCTGGTCCATCGAGTGAGTCTTCAGATCTGGCAGATGTTGGTCTGTGGAGTGTGTTTCCAGACCAGCGAACGGCGAAGATGCAGGCAAAACGAGAACCCAGCATTGACGATGAGAGTGAAGATTGAAGACGAGGATGCAGGCAAAACGTCAATATGGGAGTGGAGATTGAAGACGAGGAGGTCGGATGGCAAAGGTTTTCAGAGAAGGTCGGATGGCAATGGTGAGTCTGCTGGTCGACGATGCTCATCGGCTTCTTCTGCAGGCGATGAGGATGATCGTGCTAATCGAGCGGAAGAGAAAATGATTTTTGCTTAAGGGTATATTGGTAAAAAATTTTCCAATCCCCGGCAACAACTCTCAATTCCATCTTTTGTTTTTTGGGAGGCGGGTTTGCGGAATCCTATTCCCGTGTAAGTGGTACAGAGAATCGACTGACAATCACAATCCTAGTCTCAACCTCTTAATATCTTCTGCCAAACAGTAACTTTGAATTTAGTCAAATCAAGTGGTGGCTTGTGTAATTTTCAACATTAATTTGCTTGTTTATTTTTTTCCCATTTTATTACACTTACCCCTTATTTAAAAAATATTTTATATTTTTTGAGAAATTATATACTTAAAAATATAAGACATTTTTAATCTTTTAAAATATAATCATTATTTTTTTTAAAAGTACTTTTATTGATAATGACTTTATATTTATTATAGGATGTTTAATAGGGGTAAATATAAAAATATAAAGTTAGTTTGAAAGTAAGTAACTATTTTATTAAAAAATAAGATTCGGTTTAAAATGATTTATATTTTTAGATGGAGAGAATATTTGTCAACCATATTAAAAAAGAATTAATAAAGGTAGAAAATGATACTATTATTTTATTATTTTAAAATATAATATACCTTGATAAAAAAATTTATTAATAATATTTTTAATATTACCTTTCAAGATGAAAAGTAATTAAAATAATTATAGTGTAATAATTAATAATTATTCTCTCTGTTTAAAATCTAAAGCATTTTTAAAAAGTTAAGTATTAAAAAATGTAATATATTTTTGGTGTTTTGAGGTGTAAGGTAATCATTATGCTTCTTTTAAAAGTACTCTTAATTAAAAAATTAATTTATATTTATTTTAAAATAAAATACTATATTAAATAAGGATAAATTTAAAAAAATGATGTTAATTTAAAGACAAGTAATTATTTTATTAGAAATAAAATATAATTAAAAACACCTTATATTTTTTAACGAATAAGGTATATGTGTAGATTTAAAATTATATTAAATTAATGATATTTTTAAAAGTTTATATTATTGCTTTAAAAAAGTAAATTAATAAAGTATAATTATTAAATTTTGTTATTATACATAATCTTATTTTAAATTGATTTATAATGTGAAACAGGAGACTAATTGTATGGTCATGGTGTATTTAAGTTTTTTTTTTTTTTTGTCAACGTGTATTTTAGGTTATAGACTTACTGTTGCCTTCACTAACGTAGGATTTGAATTCTGAACATTGCAGTCTCTCAACGTTGTTAATGACATGATGACTAACGTTGATACTTCATGGCCATTATGATTGTGTATATACAATATCAAATCAAATAAATAAATAAAAGCTAACCACTAAGAACATGCCTGGAGGCCAATAAGTGGATTCAAATTAAAAGATAAGGTAGGTGATAAAAAAATGATTAGTTCTTTTACTCCTAAAATTCTATTTAGAAGAAAAAGAGAAAATCTTTATTTTAATCTTATTTATAAAGCAATTCAATTATTAGTATATTCATATTTACTATTTTATCCCTATTAAATATATGAAAGTTTATTAAATATTATAATATTTTCTTTTAAAGTAGGTATTTTTAATAAGAATAAAATTAAAAACTTGTTGAATTTTTAAACATAATTAACAATGTTTAATGTTTTCCTTGATTTTAATAAAAATATTAGAAGCAGTTTATAAATAAAATTATAAGGAGTATGAGACAATTGGTCAACTTAATATAGGATTAAAGTACATTTTTATCAGTATACTTTCCTTCAAGGATTATTGGATATCCTGTACTAATAAATAAAATATTTTTTCCTTAAGTTATTTTTTAGAGGAAAAAAAATCACCCTCCGTTAATAATTCATTAATTAAAATACTCATTCAATCTTCTTTATAAGGTAGAAAGAAGATTTTTTTAATCTTATTTATAAGTTTTATTATTAAATTCATTATAAATTTTTCTCTTTTATCCTTTACTAAATGTCAGAAAAAAAAAATATATTGTTAAATAATATAATTTAATATGAGCAAATTTAAGAACTTACTTAATTTTTAGATAGAGTTAATAAGGTTAAAAAAAATTTTAATTATGATAAAATAAATTAAAAATAATTTATAGATAAGACCAGGGATATAGTGACAACAATAACGGCCATAATTATTTTACATGACTGATGAATAATTGAGCTTATTTAAATATTTATATTATATATTGATATAGATATTAATAAATTATTATTTGGGTTTTCAAAAAAGTTATCCTTTTTTATTTTTGTATGATATTTTAATACGGAAAATTAAAAACACACACGCACACAGATATATGTATATATATATATCTATGTATATGTATATATATTATGACATTTTTGCCCTCCCCTTTTTTCTCCATGACCCAATTTCTCCTTCTATCGTGCTGCCTCACACTTCTTCATCTATTGATGTCACCTCCACCACACCCGACGCCAACTCTCTATCTCTGCTCTTCGCTGTTCAGGTTTTGCTCGTCATCTATACTTGCAAAATCCAGGTCCCATTTTCAAATCATCACGTCTTTCAAAATCATCACATCGTTCTTAACTGGGAGTTTCGTTTCATTGCTGGAAAACTTTTAACTGAAGCCGCAGGTTTCAAACACGAGACAGTAAGATTTTCAAATTCAAACTATTAAGCGTGATTTCGCCTCTTTCAATTCCTCGATGAATGTTTTTCCCCATCATTTGGATATATATGGTTTTAGGAAGGAAATGTAGTGATCTTGAAGTAAACCTAATCAACGTCTATTCTTCCTGTTATGCTTTTTATTATTGAACGACTTTCATTTTACCCTCCCTTTTCCTCTGCAGCTGATTGGCTGATTCCATTGTCTCATCCATTTCCTCTTGGACGGCACTTGGGTGAGGGAGATGAAAGCTTGGACTTAGGTTTCTTCTCCAGCCCAAGAATTTCCACGAACCGAAGCAGCGAAATTTGGTACAATGGTCTTTCTTAATTTGCTTATCAGTTTGTCACATTTAAGTATCCATTTGATACTAGGGCGTCTTTATGGTTCTGGCATAAGTTTAAAAGTTTAACCCCTTTCACTCCAATCGACATTTTCCTACATGCGATTATTGGCTCAATTATTGGCCGAGAAAAACTTAAAAGCTTACCCTAGTGGATTAGAGCAAAGAATTGGGAAAAAAAAAAAATTCAAGTGCTATGTATTTGCAAATAGGAAGTGGCTCGCGTTTGTAGTTAGCTTGTGGAGATTGACTTCCAAAAAAGAAAAAAGGCAAAAAAAAAAAAAGGAGAGAGAGTAGGTAGCTCGCAGCAAATTGACTTGTAGCTTCCCCGAAATTAACCCTTGTCTGTTTCTTGTAACATTTATCTTATTTGAAATATTTGGGTTTCGACGAATGACAAATACCTTAAATTTGAAGTTTGCGTTTTGAATTCTGAATTTGTTATCACTATCCCACTCATACGTAAAGAGTCCTCTACCGTCAAGCAGAAGAATAAAGTATGTCTCACTTCAAATGCACCAAGTCAACTTGCATACTTCTGGTGGGCTGTCATTTCAACTTCTGCCACATCAGCATCTAGGGTATATATCTTTTTCTTGTATAGACTTATTCATTAAATCAATGGCTATTCTTCCTTATTTGCTTTTTCTTCCCAATCTGCTTTTCTTCATCTCTAGATTTTCTTTTGCAACCGATACCATTACCCACTTTGAGTCTCTTCCTGATGGCAAGACCTTGGTTTCAGAAAATGGAATCTTTGAATTGGGTTTCTTTAGCCCAGGTAGTTCCACAGACCGTTATGTTGGAATTTGGTACCACAATATCCCAAGCAGAACTGTTGCTTGGGTTGCCAACCGTGACAGACCCATCAAAGACAACTTTGGCACACTGAGCATAAACAGAGAGGGACATCTTGTACTTCTAAGCCATAATGAGACTGTTGTTTGGTTAGCAAATTCCTCTACAAAGGCCTTGAGTCCAATTGTGCAACTTTTAGGCTCTGGGAACTTGATCCTAAGAGATGGGAAGGATCAAAAGCCCCAAAACTATTTGTGGCAAAGCTTTGACTATCCATCTGATACCCTTTTACCAGGAATGAAGATGGGTTGGGACCTGAGAACTGGTCTTAATCGACGTTATACAGCATGGAAGAATTGGGATGACCCTTCTTCTGGGAACTTTATATCAGAGATTGCACTACACAATTACCCTGAATTAGTGTATTGGCTGGGCCAAGCAGAGTATTTAAGGTTTGGGCCTTGGAATGGTGTTCGGTACAGTGGCATCTCTCATGTGACAAACAATCCACTGTATGAAACAAAGTTTGTCTGGAATAAAGATGAGGTGTATGCAGAGTATAATGTCAAAAACGAGTCACTGATTACAAGATTTGTCTTGAACCAGACATTATACTCACTACTGGACATGATATGGATTGAAGATGATGAGAGGTGGATTACTTTTAGTTATGTGCCTATTGATAACTGTGATAGATATAATCGATGCGGCCCAAATGGAAACTGTGTCATGGGTGAGACACCAATATGCCAGTGCCTGAGAGGATTCATGCCAAAATCACCCAAAAAATGGAATGCGATGGACTGGGCTGAGGGATGTGTCCGCAATAAATCATGGAGTTGTCAGGAAAAAGATAGGGATTATTTTGTCAAATTTAGTGGGCTGAAATTGCCAGATACTACATATTCTTGGGTTAATACAAGTATGACACTTGAGGAATGCAAAGCCAAATGTTGGGAAAATTGTTCTTGTACTGCTTATGCTCATTCTGATATCAAGGGAGGAGGTAGTGGTTGTATTATGTGGTTTGGTGATTTACTTGATATAAGGCAGATTTCTTTTGATGACCAAGATATATATATTCGTCTTGCTTCTCCAAAAACAGGTGTGGCCTTTTAGTGATCCTTTTTCAATCATCTTTTAATGCCTTAGCAACCTCAACTTTTTGTTTATTAAATGTTAGTTCAATTCCTTGTGAAGCTGGACATGACAAAGACAACGGACATATGATAGAGGTGATAGCTGTAACAGTAACCACTGTTTTGGCTCTCGTGGTGCTCTTCACTTTCATTTCCATTTACAAGCACAAAAGGAACTCTTCGGGTAAACATTCCCTGTGCTACTGTCTTTCCCTTTTTTTTTTTTTTTCATTTGCCCCATCAGAATACAAGGACGTTCATGATTGAAGTTGATGTGATTATGTTTCCAAAAGAACAGAACGATTTCCCTATTCTGTTTTAATATTTCTTTCATTTAGTGTATCAGAGGGTACCAAGAAATCTGTGTTAACAGTAAACAACCAAAAGGCTCCTAAGGAAATATCTGGCTACCTATAAATGACATTGTTGAAATAGCAAATGCTACTAATAAGCCTTTTTTTTTTAATTTTTTGTTCTTTCATTTTAGTTTATGAGAGTGAACTAAGAAAACCTTGTTAGTAGTAAACAAGGAAAAAGACTCTGAAGTAGATATGGAGCTGAAAAACTTGCTAGCAGTAAACAATGGAGAAGCCTATGATGGAAATGTGGAGCTGCATATCTATGACCTTGCGGTACTAGCTAATGCTACTAATAACTTCTCATCTGACAAGAAGCTTGGTCAAGGTGGTTTTGGGCCTGTATATAAGGTAAGTTTGTAATCAACTTGTTGGTAAGAAAAAAAAAATAACATTTGCTCTTCTGAATTATGATGCTACATTTTGATAACCATTTATATGATGTGAAAATGGTAGGGCACACTCATTGATGGACAAGAAATTGCAGTGAAACGACTTTCAAAAAATTCTCACCAAGGGGTGTGCGAATTTAAGAATGAAGTCAAATTATGTGCCAAACTTCAGCACCGTAATCTTGTTAGAGTTCTTGGTTGTTGTATTGAAGGAGAGGAGAAAATGCTCATATATGAATATATGCCCAACAAGAGCTTAGATTCATTTATTTTTGGTTTGTATGGCTCAAGAACTATTAGTTAGCAAACTTTCATCCTTCTCGTTTGATTTCACCTAAGATAATGATAAGTATTATTACACTAAAAATTTGTAGGTACTGAAAGTAAATTTCTAAATTGGTCCAAGCGCTATCACATTATACGAGGAATTGCTCGGGGTCTTTTATACCTCCATCAAGATTCTAGATTAAGAATTGTCCATAGAGATCTTAAAGCAAGTAATATATTATTGGATAGTGAATTCAATCCAAAAATCTCAGATTTCGGCTTGGCAAGAATATTTGGAGGAAATCAAATTGATGAGAATACACGACAAATAGTTGGTACATAGTGAGTTTGGTTAATCATATTTTGATTTTGTATACTTGTACATCATTGAATTTGATATTAACTCATTTGTGACTTATTGTAGTGGTTATATGGCACCTGAATATGCAATTAGTGGACTATTCTCTGTTAAATCTGATGTATTCAGTTTTGGAGTATTGCTGTTAGAGATAGTGAGTGGCATGAAGAACAGGAGGCTTTTTTTGCCAAACCAAAGTGTTAATCTTATTGGACATGTTAGTAATGAGGAACCTATCATCATTTTTATCTTTTCTTCAACTCGTAAGTGATAAAATGTTTTGAATTGCTGTAGGCATGGAGATTGTGGAAGGAGGGAATCCCACTGAAGTTGATTGATGAACATGTGGAGAAGCATTGTATTGATTCAGAAGTGTTGCGATGCATCCATATTGGTCTTCTTTGTTTACAACACCATCCTGATGATAGGCCAGACATGGCATCCGTGGTTGTAATGTTAAGCAGTGAGGGAGTCTTGCCTCAACCTAAAGAACCTGCTTTTCTTTTGGAAAACATACAAGTTGGGGGAGAATGTTCTCATAAGAATCATGCAACTCCTTCAAGTAATGAAATTACCATCACGTTGTTGGAAGCTAGATAAAGACAATTGTGCTTATTAATCCTGTATTGCTAATGAGCATACTCTTAAGGACAAGACTAGCTAGTTACAACAAATGAAGATGATATTGATTCTAAACAACTTTCTTATTTCAGCATATTGCTTACCGTTTAAGTAAGCACTGTTTCTTCTTTGATTGTGCTCAATGAACTCATTGAAATATTTGTATCAGACTAATCAAAGAATACATTTGGGATAAAAAAATGCACCAACTTGTAATTTTCTTTGTGGGTGGTCATCAACAGCTTTCTATCAAAGAATGCTGGATGATGGACATCCGTCCCAGTCATGTACAATATGTCAAAGTCTTTTTATCGTTAGTGACCTTGTGAGAGCCAACAACAAGAATTGCTATCTATATGCTAATAGAAAATAGCTTAGCCTTGCGAATGTGGATTAAAGCTTTTATTTACAATGACCTTGAAAACTAGTAGGATTGACTTCCAAAATAATGACGGAAGCTCACAAATTTGATTTATATGGTAGTATCAAACAAGCTCATGAAATTTTAATTTATTTATCTTTAATTTTACATCTAATGGATTTACCTGAATCCACACATGATTTTCTTTTAATCTGTATTATATGACTAGAAAGAGAAATATCCACAGGAACACAACAACATATTGGACTTGAATACACTACTCCTTTGGGATTTCTTCAAGCTCTAGTAGATGGAACAAAATTGCTTTTTAAAGAGAATCTTATAAGATCCACAAAGATGATAGCCCTCAGTACACATGCAAGGGTTACTTTGTTGCCAAATACTCTTTCAGTTTTAATTTGTAAGGTTTTTTTTTTTACAAAATTATACATATCAATAAATTTTATTAAATATACTTTATAAATTTAATGTTTCTATAAACTTCTAAAAATATTTTTTATTAATAAGAAAAAGGGAAACATTATTAAAGAGTGAAGTGATGAGGCATAATATTGAAATAATCATTATTAATAATTTTTTTAAAAAGAATCTTATATTTTAGAACACTAAATCACCTCTTAAAATGTCTTGTATAATGTGATGGATGGAATTACAAATAAACCTGAAGTTTGAGACTTTCAGTTTTTAATTCTGAATCTGTTACTATCTCATGCGTTAAAAGTTCTCAGCCGTGAAGAAAAAGGTTACAATATTTTTGATTGTAAGAGCACCTAGCCAATCTGTTTGTTTCTAGGTATCCTCCTTTTCAATTTCTGCGATACATCAGCATCAGGAATATATATGGTATATTTTTTCTTGTGCCGACCATTTCATCAAATCAATGGCAATGTCCCTTCCAGGGCAATCTACCTTTTCTCCCAAGCATCAATCTCCAAAGGGGAAAAAGAAAAAATTGGAGCCAAATATTCAAGTACTAGAACCCCACGCTTTTTGGAGAAAAAAATATTTTAAAACTAAAGTTCTTCTGAAAGATCAAAGTTATTATTTTTGAGAAAAATTTATATACTTAATCAAAGTTATTATTTTTGAAAAAAAATTATATGCTTAGCCTTATTAATTTAATATGCTTGTTTTCAATTAAAATAAGACATATGGATGTTTTATAGATTATTTATTCTATAACAAATTCTTATTATTAATATTATGAACACATTAAATATACTTGTTTTAATTTGATTGGATAAACCGCTTGTTATCAATTAGATGATTTTTTTTCCATAGCTGCGTTAAACTTTATTCTAGATTAACTCTACTTTTCTTATCCATAAATGCATGAAATAAAGGGGGAAGTGTATTGCACAGAACATTCACAAACCTCAATTATAATGAAGGGTGGGCAAATATCTCTTCTCACTTGAAAAAAAAAAAAAAATCATCAGTAGATGGATGTGAATTTGACATTTTGTTTCACTTATTTTTATGATTTTAAACTTGTTAAAGCCAAATTCAAACCTAATTAGATGTAAGGATTTTTTTTGAGTACAATTCAATGATTTTCCACCTAAAAAATGCACCAACTTATAATTTTCTTTGTGGGTGAGGTTGGGATTAACAGCACAGCTTCACTGTAAATGAGTGTTCAAGGCCCAATCCAATCATGCACTGCATGTCAAAGTCTTTTGCGTTCACTGGCTTTGTTAGGGGAAAAAGAAGAGTCAAGTGCTATCTATCATCTATTATTATATGCAAATAGTTTGTGGACTAAGAGTTCAGTATATATTAGAGGTATTATAATAATTTTAGAGAAGACATTAATGTAAAAAAAAAATCCAAAAGACTTAGAAGGAAGAGAAAATAATAATAAAATCTCGTTAAAATATATAAATGATTATTTAATCTCTCAAGATGTAATAATTTTATTAAAGTCTTTGAAAACTTTTCTATCATTAATAAATTTATATAAATAACTAAATTATCCTTGTTGACAATAAAACGATTCACAAATTTTATTTAAATAATTATAATTTTTTTTATATTCACAACAATATAACAATAAATTATAACTTCACATATTAAATTCTTGATTTGTTAATTATACTTTCGAAGGTTGTTAATTATTATTCTAAAATTATAACTAAATTTTTTTAATATTACAAGAATGTTCTAAATTTATACTGTGAGATTGCATAATAATGAGGGAAAAACTTTAAGAAGAACGGGTAAAAAAAATAATTTTAATCTTTTAGAAAATATATGAAAGTTTTCTTTTGATTAAGTATTAAAGTTTTTTCTTATTTCAAGTTTCAGAAGTTTGAATTCTCGCCGGTCAAAAAAGAAAGTTTGAATCCTTAAATACAATTTTCCCAAACTCTTACTGGAGAATAGGAGGAATTGGAAAATAAATAAATAAATATATATATATATATATATATATATATATAGGTATCCCCGGTGGAAAAATGAGGTAGCCAGCCAAGTTTGACTTAAAAGCTTTACCGAAACTAGAAGTGAGAATATGAGCCAATTTGATTTATATGAATTGGCTCATATGAGTTAAAAAAAATATGATCTAGTTAAGTTCAATTTATTTTTATATAGTTAAAAAAATCCCAACGTAACTCAATTTTTAAGGGTTAGCAGGCTAAATGGACCAACGCGTCAATCCATTTTTTTTTTTTTTTAAATTTTTTATTATTTTTTTAAAAATATATGTAAATAATAAGTTTCAATTTGATATTTCTTCTTAATTCATTCTAAATATATCAAAATATTATTTTTATAATATTTTTATAAAATATATAAATTGATACAGCTAAATAAATCATCCCTATTGCCTAATATAATTTATATTCATACAATTTTTTTCTTTTTTTTTTTAATTTTTTTAACATTAATATAGGTTAAATGGCCAACCCTAACCTATCAGGATTAACCTATATGGTTCATGGGTTATTGATTCGAACAAAAAAAATTTATTTTATTTGGGCCAATTTTTTCCAACTTAACTGGACCCTTGTTACCGGTTATTTGAAACAACTCACATAATTCGACCCATATTTTCAGCTCTAACCGAAATGAACCATTTTCTTTCGATCGCTGCCTTTTCCTGCGTTCATCTCTGACTACTTACGAGATTTTGGGACCCACCTCAAGTCAATCATCATTTCATTTGTAAATTGTATAATATTTTGAACTTTCTAACTGATTCGTTGAAGCAATGGCCATCCTTCTTCCTTGTCTGCTTCTTCTTTCCATTCTGCTTCTATTCTTTCTTCCATTGGCCTCTTCTGCAACTGATATTATCACACAATCTCAGCCACTTCTTGATGATGAAGGAACCACCTTGGTTTCTGAAAATGGAAAGTTTGAACTTGGATTTTTCAGCCTTGGTGGTTCTCCACATCGCTATATTGGAATCTGGTTCAAAAACATACCAGTTACAACTGTTGTTTGGGTTGCCAACCGTGAAAACCCAATCAAACACAGTTCTGCAGGCAAGTTGATTATAAACAAAGACGGAAACCTAGTACTTCTCGACGATAATAACACATTTGTTTGGTCCGCAAATTCAACAAAGAAGGCTTCAAGTACTCCAATCGTGCAACTTCTAGGCTCAGGAAACTTAGTGCTGAGAGATGATCAGAAAGACCAGAATCCTCAAAACTACTTGTGGCAGAGCTTTGACTATCCTACTGATACATTTTTGCCAGGAATGAAGATAGGATGGGACCTGAGAACTGGTCTTAATCGCCATTTGATAGCATGGAAAAATTGGGATGACCCTTCTCCAGGAGACTTCAGAAGTGAGCTCTTGCTTCACAACTTACCAGAAATGGTTTTCTGGCAAGGCACATCAGAATATTTCAGGATGGGTCCTTGGGATGGTGTTTCATTTAGTGGCTCTTCTTCAGTGAACAACAATATAACATTGGTCTCCAACAACGATGAGGTGTACTTCATGTACACTCTCACCAATGACTCAATGATTTTTAGAGATGTCTTGAACCAAACAAAATATGCAATGCAAAGGTTCGTATGGATCAAGATACTCAAAGTTGGAAATCTTTTGGTGACTTGCCAAGGGATAATTGTGAAAAATATAATACTTGCGGCTCAAATGGAAATTGTATGGTTGAATTATCCACATGCCAATGCTTGAGAGGGTTCAAGCCAAAATCATCCAAAAATTGGGACATGTTTGATTGGACAGAAGGGTGCGTTCGTAGTGAACAATGGAGCTGTAAGGTGAAAGGCAAAGACAATTTTCTTAAATTTTCTGGGCTGAAATTACCAGATAGTACACATACTTGGGTCAATGCAAGTATGACACTAGATGAGTGTAAATCCAAATGCTGGGAAAATTGTTCCTGTACTGCTTATGCTAGTTCAGATATCAAAGGAGGAGGTAGTGGTTGTGCCATGTGGTTTGGGAATCTGATTGATATGAATCAAATGTCAAATGTTGGCCAAGATCTATATATACGCCTCGCTGTTACAGATATAGAAATAGGTATGTCTCTGTGTGTGTCCTTTTTATTACCTCTCTATTCATTTTTTGGGATTTTAGCTAACCTGTTTTTTATTGCGTTGGCTACATTGTGAAGCTAACCATGAAGGTAAAAATGAAGACAAGATAAAGGGAGTTGTTATAGCAGCTACCATTTTAGCAACTCTTGTGATACTCTTCACTTCCATATGCATTTATAAGAGAAGAAGAAAATCTAAAGGTAAACACATTCTGAAGTTCATCTTGACTTTTTTCTTCATTTTGTAAGGGTATATATAAAAGGACAAATTTTGAATTCTATTATGTGCTTTTATGCTTAGAAAAAACCCATGTATGCATTATTTATATCCCTTGGTTTGCTTCAGTGAAAACTGAGAGAACCTTGACCATAGAAAATAATGATGAAAGCACTGAGGGAGATCTGGAGCTTCCCCTGTATAGCTTTGAATTAATAGCTCGTGCTACCAACAACTTCTCAATTGACAATAAGCTTGGAGAAGGTGGTTTTGGACCAGTGTATAAGGTAATTACTTATAATAAACCGATGAACAAGAGTAAATCCACTAAGGTTAGCGTTTTGATTTATGATATCGTAAATGACAATCATTGTTTTATGGTTAGGGTGTGCTGGTAGATGGTCAAGAGATTGCTGTGAAGCGACTTTCAGAAAGTTCTCGTCAAGGAATGAAAGAGTTCAAGAATGAAGTTATATTGTGTGCCAAACTTCAACATCGAAATCTTGTGAAAGTTATTGGTTGTTGCATTCAAGGAGAGGAAAAAATGCTCATTTATGAATACATGCCCAACAAAAGTTTGGATTTGTTTATTTTTGGTCAGTCCGCACATTTGTATATTTATCAAGTTCTTTTAACTCAACTTGAATAACAACTAATTAATTTTTGTATTTTTGTAACTTTACAGGATCTTCCCCTCAAAGTAAACTCTTAAATTGGTCCAAACGCTTTGATATTATATGTAGAATTGGTCGAGGACTTATGTATCTTCATCAAGATTCTAGATTAAATTATACATAGAGATCTTAAAGCAAGTAACGTATTGCTAGACAATAAATGGAATCCAAAAATATCTGATTTTGACTTAGCAAGGATTTTTGGAAGTGGTCAAATTGAAGAGAATACGAGGAGAGTTGTTGGTACATAGTAAGTATCATATTGTTACATTGTGATTTGTATTTCTACACATTATTGAAGTTTAATTTAAAGATAATATTAACTTAATAATGACTTATTTCAGTGGTTATATGGCACCTGAATACGCAATCGATGGGTTATTTTCCATGAAGTCTGATGTATTTAGCTTTGGAATATTACTGCTGGAAATAGTGAGTGGAAAGAAAAATGGAGGGTTTTCCTTGGCAAGCCAAAGTCATAATCTTATTGGACATGTTAGTAAATTGTAACCAAACTTCATTTTTTATCTTTAATGAATTGGCATTTGATTGATGTTTGGCCTTGTTGTAGGCATGGAGATTGTGGAAAGAGAACATGGCACTAAAATTGATTGATGCATGCTTGGAGGAGTCTTGTATTGAATCAGAAGTATTGCGATGCACCCATATCGGCCTTCTTTGTTTACAACACCATCCTAATGATAGGCCAAACATGACATATGTGGTTGTGATGTTAAGCAGTGAGGTTGACTTACCTCAACCTAAAGAACCTGGTTTTCTCTTAGAAAATATACAAATTAAAAGTGAATCCTCAGCCAGCAATCACACAATAGCTTCAGTGAATAAATTTCAATAACTGAAATAGAACCTAGATAAAGTACTTCTTTACTTAATTTTTATGCTGCCATATGAACAATTCCTAGGTATGTTGCTTAGTTATTTTGTATGGCTCTAATTCTTTTTCTTTTCGGGATCAATTTGTATGGCTTTGTTTTAACTCACACAATAAACACATATAGAATTTTTTTTTATATCTTTTATAGTTTAACTTACAAGATAAGCAATTGTAGGGTGCATCTGGCTATGCAAATTTCTCTTTGGATGATGGACAATTTTATTGCTTGCCATTTTGCAATTTATATAATAATCCTACACACCATACTAGTGAGTAGTTGGGAAAGGGTAGACCATAGGAAAGTTAAAGGAAAATAACAATTTAGCCTCATTTAAGAAAGTTTTTTTTTAATAACTCTTTCAAGAAAGGTATTGTCAGTTAATTAATTAAGCTCTACAAATTTGATAAATTACACCACTAGTATTTTTGACTTTGTAACAATTTACTTCCAAACAGGTATGAAAATGGTGCCTATAATAATAAGAGACATTAGTTTTTCAACTATAATTTTTTACTGCCATTTCGTACAACAAATCCTAAATGACATTAGAAAATCGCTACCTATTGTAAAAGAAAGACAACAGTTCTTATATCTATGACATGGTATATTTTAAATAGAGAATAAAAAAAATGTTGCCTCTTTATTCATTATCCACAATAAAAATTTGTTCTCTATTTTTTTTTTATCACCTAAGACATCTTGCCTACTTCAAATTAGTACCCTTAGATCCTGATTTACCTATGAGATTATTGTTGGTAATAAGAATTTTATACTGCAGGTTTGGATTAGTTCAGGTTAGAGGTAATGATACTCATGAGTTTTTTAGAATACCAGTGATGGAATAAAAAAAATTAACATCCTTATTTTTTTAATCATTTCTATTAACTTATTTTAATTTCATTGGTTAGTTTATATTTAAAATATAATTATTTTCTTGAGAAACAAAGCTTGAGTTATAATTCTCCCCCAAAAACTTCACACCCAAAGCCAAAATCGATAGGGTAAGTGATTAATTTTATGGATTTTTTTCCCCCATGGAACCTTCCTCTGGCTTTGATTATAGGAATTCAAATTCATTTCTATTGTGCCTTTTTATCTAATTGGTATGAAATTGAAATTCAACAGCTTTATTTATGAATTCAAAAGAAGTTAGGTTATAATTTCCTTTGTGGGTGTGATTAAGATTAACCCCCAACTTCTCCGAAAATGAGTCCATTGATGCTCAATATGTCAAAATCTTTTTGCCTCAGTGCTCTCTTTATATTGTGCGAATAGTTTGTGGACTAAAACTTCTACTATCATTATTAACATAGATTTGAAAAACTAGTAGCTGGCAAATTTTGACTTATACCATCCCCATAATAAACTATTTTCTTTCCTCTTCTTTTTTTCCCCCTTTTCTATATTTAAGGACCTTTTTCTATCTGGATTATTAAAATCTTAATCTTCCTATATAATGTTGATAGATTTGTTCTGAATTTATTGACATGGTTTTGGTCGATATATTTACATCTGATATAGTAATGGGAAAAAGAAGGTCTAGGTTGGAAAAATATAACCTTTTTACTTTCTCAATTAATTTTTGAGAAAGCATAATCAGGTGGATTAAAGCAAATAATAGAAAAAAGACCACGAGCTAAATATTCAAGAAGAACAGGTACATAATAATTTTAAGAAACACCAGTAACAACTTTGATCTTTTTAAAAAATACTGAAGTTTTAACTTGTGGTTAAGATAGTGGAGACTTGGGAGAAAATTGTAGGAATTGAAAAACCAATGTTGCACAGTGGAAAATTAGGCAGCTAACAAGTTGACTTAAAGCATTATGGAAACGAATCGTTTCCGACCTCTTGCAACCTTTTCCTCTGTGTGTATGTATATGTGTGTGTGTGTATATATATATATGACCGCCCCACCACATGAAGTCAGTCAACGTGGTTCTTCCACATCTCCTACATCATTTCCATGTATACCTTTTGAACTTGCTAACATCTTCGTCAAAGCAATGGCCATCCTGCTTCCTTATTTTGTGCTTCTTCTTGCCAATCTGCTTCTGTTCTTCCTTCCATTGGCCTCTTTTGCAACTGATATCATCACACAATCTCAGCGACTTCTTGATGATGAAGGAACCACCTTGGTGTCCGAAAATGGAAAGTTTGAACTGGGATTTTTCAGCCCAGGTAGTTCTCCACATCGGTATTGGAATCTCGTTCAAAAACATCCAAGTTACAACTGTTGTTTGGGTTGCCAACCGTGAAAACCCAATCAAACACAGTTCTGCAGGCAAGTTGATCGTAAACAAAGACGGAAACCTAGCACTTCTCCACAAGAACGACTCTATTGTTTGTTGGCCAGTTCAACAAAAAAGGCATCAAGTCCAGTTGTCCAACTTTTAGGCTTTGGAAAACTTGGTACTAAGAGATGAGAAAGACCATAATCCACAAAATTACTTGTGGCAGAGCTTCGACCATCCTTCTGATAACTTATTGTCAGGAATGAAATTAGGATGGGACCTAAGAACTGGTCTGAATCGATATTTGACAGCATGGAAGAATTGGGATGACCTTTCTCCAGGAGACTTTAGAATTGAGCTCATGCTTCACGGTTTACCAGAAAAGGTTTTTTGGCAAGGCACCACGGAATATTATAGGATGGGACCTTGGAATGGTGTTTCATTTAGTGGCTCTTCTTCAGTGAACAGCAATATAACATTGGTCTCCAACAAGGATGAGGCGTACTTAATGTACACTCTCAACAATGAGTCAGAGATTTTTATAGACACCTTAAACCAAATGAAATATGCGATGCAAAGGCTTGTATGGGATCAAGATACTCAAAGGTGGAAATCTTTTGGTGATTTACCGAGGGATTAATGTGAAAAATATAATACTTGCGGCTCTAATGGAATTTGTATCATTGAATTATCAAAATGCCAATGCTTGAAAGGGTTCAAACCAAAATCAGCCAAAAATTGGGACTTGTTTGATTGGACAGAAGGGGGTGTTCGCAGTGAACAGTGGAGTTGTAAGGTGAAAGGCAAAGACTATTTTCTTAAATTTACTGGGTTGAAATTACCAGATACAACACATGCTTGGGTCAATGCAAGTATGACACTTGATGAGTGTAAGGCCAAATGCTGGGAAAATTGTTCTTGTACTGCTTATGCTAACTCAGATATCAGAGGAGGAGGTAGGGGCTGTGCCATGTGGTTTGGAGATCTGATTGATATGAATCAAATGTCAAACGTTGGCCAGGATCTATATATTTGCCTCGCTGTCACAGATACAGAAATAGGTGGTGGGTGTGCGTCCTTTGTATTACTTCTCTATTCATATTTTGGGTTTTAGCTAACTCTTTTTGTGTGCATTGGCTAGATTATGAAGCTAACCATGAAGGTGCTAATGAAAACAAGATAAAGGGAATTGTGATAGCAGCTACCATTTTAGCAACTGTTGTGATGCTTTTCACTTTCCTCTGTATTTATAAGAGAAGAAGAATATCTAGAGGTAAACATTCTGAAGTTCAACTGCCTATTTTTGTTTTTTATTTTTCTTTTTTCAAGGTATAAAGGGACAAATTTTGAATTCTGTTCTATGCATTTATGCTTAGGGGAAAAAGTCATGTATATCATATTTATGCATGCCTTGCTTCAGTGAAAACTGATAGAATCTTGTCCATAGAAAATAATGATGAAGGCCCTGCTGAGGGAGATATGGAGCTTCCTCTCTACAGCTTTGATTAATAGCTTGTGCTACCGACAACTTCTCAATTAACAATAAGCTTGACCAAGGTGGTTTTGGACCAGTGTACAAGGTAACTTGCAATGTCAAACTGATGAGCATGAGTAATTGAAGTAATTTAGTCTTTTGATATTTGATGTTGTAAATTATGATCATTTTTTATGGTTGAGGTATGTTAGTTGATGGTCAAGAGATTGCTGTCAAGCGACTTTCAAAAAATTCTCATCAAGGAATGAATGAATTCAAGAATGAGGTTATATTGTGCGCTAAACTTCAACATCAAAATCTTGTTAAAGTTCTCGGTTGTTGCATTCAAGGAGAGGAAACAATTCTCATTTATGAATATATGCCTAATAAGAGCTTAGATTGGTTTATTTTTGGATCGTACATATTTGTATATTTATCAACTTTTTTTAACTCCACTTGGATAACAAATAATTTTTCTACCTTTCAAACTTTACAGGTTCTCCTCCTCAAAGTAAACTCTTAAATTGGTCTAAATGCTTTTACATTACATATGGAATTACTCAAAGGCTTATGTATCCTCACCAAGATTTTAAATTGAGAATCATTCATAGAGATTTTAAAGCAAATAATGTATTACTAGATAATGAATTGAATCCAAAAATTTCAGATTTTAGTTTGGCAAGGATTTTTGAAAGTGATCGAGTTGAAGAGAATACAAGGAGAGTTGTCGGTACATAGTAAGTATCACATAGTTGCATTATAATTTGTATTTCTACACATTATTGAAAATGATATTAACTCATTGATGACTTATTTCAGTGGCTATATGATACTTGAATATGCAATCGATAGGTTGTTTTTTATGAAATATAATGTATTCAGCTTTGGAATATTACTATTAGAAATAGTGAGTGGAAAGAAAAATGGAGGGATCTCCTTACCTAACCCAAGTTTTAATCTTATTGAAAATGTTAGTAAATTGCAACATAACTTCTTCTTTTTTTTTTTATGAATTGGCAATTGATAGATGTTTGGGATTGTTGTAGGCATGGAGGTGGTGGAAAGAACACATCCCACTCAATTTGATTGATGCACAATTAGAAGAGTCCTGTATTGAATCAGAGGTACTACGATGAATTCATATCGGCCTTCTTTGTGTGCAACACCATCCTAATGATAAGCCAAACATGACATCTGTGGTTGTGATGTTAAGTAGTGAGAATGACTTACCTCAGCCTAAGGAACCTGGTTTTCTCTTTGAAAATATGCCAATTATAAATGAATATTCTACCAGCAATTACATGCCAACTTCAAAGAATGAATTTTCTATAATTGAGTTAGAGTCCTGATAAAGGACTATTTTACTTAATTTTGTATCGAATACACAGTCATCAATTTACAACAAAGTTGGATGATATATGTAAGTTATAATAACCAACTCTTATAAATATTGCTTAAAATTTTGTATTACTCTGTTGTTTTCTAGCATAATTGTACTGAAAAATATTATATGGGATAGACTCTATTTTTCTTATCCATATATACATGAAATGGCAAGGGAAGTGTATTGCATAGAACAACAAACCTAGGTTATACTGAGAATGGCCAACTGCTCCCTTCATTTGGAAAAAAATTAAAAAGTGTATATGTTTTATTCTGATATTTTACTCCCACCATTTGTTAGATTTTAAACCTACTAAAATCAATTTTAAGTAAAACTACTTTTAAAACATTTACACACACACACACACACACACACAATATTTTACTTCAAGCCCCAAAAAACCTAAATTTAAAATTTTGAACCCGCATGAATAAAAAATCTCACATCACGGAATTTTAAAGGCATTTTTTGGGGTAGTATTTTCACCCTCCAAGCCATTAATCTTCAACTACTGAAAGTTTGAAACAACCGTGGTCATCTTTCAGACTGCATCCCAATATTTTATTTTATTTTGCTATTTTGCAATTTATAATCCTACACACATGCATCTGGGTCTATCACTAGAGAGTAGCTGGGGAAAAAGATAGGCCCAGGAAAAGTTGAATTATTGTGCTCCACGCAGTTTTTCAGGATGAATGCGCATGTATCAATCAAATCCCCAGCTAATGAATGTGCATATACAAATAAAGTCCCTTGCTTAGCAGGGCATTTAAGCAGGGAATGGGTGACTTCTAGTTTTTTTGAAAAAATATATTCGAGAAAAAAATCATACAAAACAAAAATCTCAAAAGAAAATATATAATTCAGCATCCAACATTGATACCTCTCCAACCAACATAATCCTTAACAAACTGCAAGAAAAATCAGTGTTCAAGTAATCAATCAAATCCCCGGCAATAGCAGGGGATTGGTGACTTACAGCTTTTCTTTCTAATTTAAGAGAGAAATTATACTAAACAAAAATCTCAACAGAAAATATGCAACTCAACAACCAACTTTCATATCACTTCCAACCAACTTAATATGTTTCCTTGACAATCTACAAGAATGATGGATTACCATAGACTGTACATTGCAACAACAATAAGCATTATCCCTCCAGAAGAAATTGACTAATCACCATAGACTGTACATTGAGGAGGAAAAAACGAAACAAAACAAAACAAAAGTTAAATGCTTTCACTTGCATGATATTGTAATGAGTAAAATAACGCCTTATCTGGCCTCCAACTGAGACATAGTTACTTCATTAGTTGAAGATGTCTGCTTGCCAGAAGAACCACATTCTTCTCCCATCATAATCCTCTCTATCAAGAAACCTGGCTCCTTAGGCTCAGGCAACACATTCTCACTACTCAACATCACAATTACAGAGGCCATGTTTGGCCTATCCTCAGGATGCAGTTGCACACATAGAAGACCCACATGAATACAGCGCGATGCTTCTGATAAATTAAAAGCTTCTCCCAAACAACCATCAATTAGTTCCAATATGTTGCCCTCCTTCCACAATCTCCATGCCTAAACAAATTGAAGCATCAATGATCCATCAGCTATAGATTAGCGTGCGTGTTTGTGTGTGTCGACAGTGCTATAATTATAACACACTGTCCACACCTGCTCGCCACAGGTCAAAAGAAAAAGATATTTTTATTTTATTTTTTGGCTCAGACATTATTAGCATGAAAAACTGGGAACGTGGAAAAAAATAGAATAAGAGACTAAAATGCTTACTTGATGAGACATTAGAATTGTATTTCCAATAGTTTTTTTTTTTTTGTGTTGTATATAAATAATTCTAATAACATAATTGAGATCCGTTTTAGACCACAAGATATAAAGTTTCAAAACTAAAATTTGAATATGGCACATGTCAAGATTATATATATATATATATAAATATAACACACACACAGAGAGCACAAAAAAGAAGTTTTAATCACTCACAAAGCCAATGAGGTTAAAACCCTGGCTTGGATAAGAAGCTCCTCGGTTTTTCTTTCCAGTTATTATTTCCAGCAATAATACACCAAAGCTAAACACATCAGATTTAATAGAGAATAGCCCATGAATAGCATATTCTGGTGACATATAACCACTGAAAAAAGTTAAAAATAGGTTAATAACATTTAATGATGAACAGAAAATAAGAAAAAATACAATGCAATATTGAAAGACTTACTTACTAGGTACCAGCTATTCTATTTGTGTTTCCTTCAATCTGATCACCACCAAACATTCTTGCCATGCCAAAATCTGAAATTTTTGGGTTCATCTTACCATCTAACAAAATATTACTTGCTTTAAGATCTCGATGTATAATCCTCAATCTGGAATCTTGATGAAGATAAAGAAGCCCTCGTGCAATTCCAAATATAATGTGAAAGCGCCTAGACCATTCTAGGTTTTTGCTTTGATTGGAATCTGTCAAGTTTTTGAGTTATTTTAATTCCAGACAAAAAAACAAACAACAAAATTATCATTATGCTAAATATTAGTTATGTCATAAGTACCGAACAAAAGGTTATCTAGGCTTTTGTTGGGCATGTACTCATAGATGAGCATCTTCTCCTCTCCTTGGATGCAACAACCTAGAACCTTGACAAGATTTCGGTGTTGAAGTTTGGCACACAATAAAACTTCATTCTTAAATTCTTGCATTCCTTGTCCAGAGCTCTGGGATAACCTCTTGACAGCAATCTCTTGTCCATCTGCTAGTATACCCTAAAGAAATTTTTATAGAAAATTCAAACTTTATGAATGAAAGAATGATGGTTTGCCCTATGTTCTTAACAGTCATATTACTTGTATATACATAAGGACAAGCACGTGCACATACACATACCATGTATACTGGTCCAAAGCCACCTTGGCCAAGCTTCTTGTCATTTGAGAAGTCATTAGTGGCATTAACAATCGTAGCAAGGTCATAAAATGGCAGTTCCAAGTCCTCTTGTTCACCTTTATTGATATTCTCTATGGAGATTTTCTCTGTATCAATTAAATGAACTCAACATCACAAACAAGAGAACAAAAACTTTGATTTTAAGGTGTTATGCCACAAATGCAAGATTTATCTCACTTGGAGACAGGGGAATAGGGAATAAAGAAAAAACTACCACATGTTATCTGGCTTTCCTAAAACATGTCCAAGTGTCATGTCAGCGGAACCAACAGCTTAAACTAAATGTGACGAGTTTGGAAACTGGTATTCAACAAGGTTTGCCTTACAAAGAAGATATGTGGATGGAAGATTAATCATGGATGAAACATGCTGAAGTGAATTGCATATTAATACTCATTGCACAGATAGATTAGCTGCTGAATGAAATATAACAAATAAGAATGTTTACCTCTATGATTTCTTTTCCGCCAACGAATGCAAGAGAAAGCCAAAAGCACCACGATAACCAGTGGAACAGTAACTGCTATCACCACCACCCACACCATTTTCTTATGCTCTTTTGCATCTATAATTTTACAGAGAAATGATTCAACATACAATACACGGGGAAAAAAAAAAAAAAGTTAATCCGCCATTTTGATTATCCAGAGATGATCCTGCCATACCAAATTTTTCCCCCAAGAAAAAAAAAAAATTCATTTTAGTACTCACAAGTATAACTTTGTTCCAATTCCATCTCAAAAATTTTATTAAAATGGTACTCAGTATCAGTAGATACTAAAATGATAATGTTCGCTTGACGATTAAATACAAAGCAAAATCAAAATTTGAAGGGCAAATCTTGAGTGAATTGATATTTTGACCCCTGAAGTTTGAGCATCTCATTTTAGTCTTTCAAAGGGTAACTTTCTCAAATCCATGCTGACACAAGTGTTTCAAGGCTAGCTACCACAGAAGTTTATTGTTCCGTCACACCATTGAATTGTCTACAAGACTCTAATGAGACATTAAAAAGAAAAGGTGTCAACAAAATCTATAATCGCTCAAAAATCCTAAAAAGAACCAAACGGCACTCAAATAATCTTGGAGAACCAAAATGGGGTTTTCATCGATTAAAAGATTATAGTCCATACCAGTCTCCGCGGCAGCCATTCGAATATACAGATCTTGGCCAGGAGTGGAAGCCACTCTCAAATCAACAAGGTCACCAAACCAAATGAGACACCCACTACCTCCTCCAGTAGCATACAAGTTTGCATAAGCAGTACAGGAACAAGTTGCCAAGCATTTCATCCTGCAATCCCCAAGTGTCATACTTGCATTAACCCAAGCTTTTCTAGTATCTGGCATTTTCAATCCACTGAATCTTCGAAACCCATCTCTATTTTTGACCCCACAACTCCACAATTCACTGCGAACACATCCCTGGGTCCAGTCCAATGCATTGTAGTTTTGGGGTGATTTTGCCTGGAACCCTGATAGACACTGGCAGGGTGGAGAATCATTAACGATGCAATTTCCATAGGGACCACAGAGATTGTAGTTGTCGCAGTTATCTCTGGGCACAGATGAATAAAGCCTCCAGCTTTTAGTTTGCTCAACCCAGTTATAGCGCTGACGATAAGACGTAGTTCCGTTCAGTACAACCCTTGTTATCACTGATTTGTTCTGAAGCTTGGAAGTGTAAACCACCTAGCGCCAAACCACAAGAAAGAAAACAAAGGATGCTTTTTCATATTTACAAGAGGAAGGTGACACCACTATTTGCTTAGATTTGTCGACAATACATCATATTTCAATTAAACTATGTATTACTATTTACCAATACTATTAATTATGAAATATAATAATGCGCCTTCATTATCATAACGGCCAAAAAAAAAATTTAGCATAACAATTGAATACCTCATCTTGATTAGAGACGAATTGCAGCTCGAAGATCGGTGTAGTTTTCCCGCTGAAAATAGCTCCATTCCAAGGACCACTCCTATAGTACTCTTCTTCTCCCTTCCACATCACCAGCTCCGGCGTCACTCCGAGCACCATGCCCCATCTCAGATCTCCCACAGAAGGATCGTCCCAACTCTTCCACGCCCTCAATTCCCTGTTTATCCCTCTTCTCAGATCCCACCCAATCTTCATTCCAGGCAAGAACGTGTCAGTCGGATAATCAAAACTCTGCCATATATACTCCTCACCATCATCATCAACCTCGCCCCGTTCATTTCTCAGAACCAAGTTCCCTGAATCCAAAAGCTGCGCAACAACAGTGCCATTTTTCAAACTCGAGCTTTTAACCGTAGTGTTTGCCGACCAAACAACGGTGCCGTTTTGGCTGAGGAGCACGAGACCTCTCTCGTCGGTTATGGTCAAACGACTGGGAGTTGTGAAGTTGGTGTCGTTTCTGAGGGGCGTTTGGCGGTTGGCCACCCAGACGACGGTCGTATCGGGGATGTTTGTGTACCAGATGCCCAGGTAGCGATTCGAGGAAGAGCCTGGAGAGAAGAAGCCGAGTTGGAAGGTTCCGTCACTGGAAACCAAGTAGGTGGTTCCGTTGGCGTCGTCGACGAGGGGATGAGACTGTGTGAGAGTATCAGTTGCAGAAGAAAGCGAAAGTGAATTGACCATGAAAGCGAGAATGAGAGGAAGAAGAGTGGCCATGGAAAATCCTTAGAATTTAAGAAAGGCAAAATCAGACACATGCGTAATATGTAGTATAGCTGCCAAAACGAAAGCAATTCAGACAAGCCAAGTTGCAAGCGAACTTTGGCATCCAACAAAAAAAAAAATTGCAAGCCAACAGTTTATCATGTCATGGAAGTCCATATTTGCATTAAATAACATCATTCAAAGTCAAAAATATCCATATAAATTGACAAATATATCATTTAGGAAGTCAACGTCAATTTAACTCAAGCGCATAATCTACCGATCTTGTTATTATCTACCTACTAATATATATATATATATATATATTTTTAAAGTTTTATAAGAAAACATATTTGTTTGGTGCTTTAAATTAGCTATTTTTTAGAAGAATTTTATGGCTGAAAACATAAATACTCTTCATCTCAAATTATAAAACACTTTTTAAATAAAATCACACAAATTAATAAAATTTATTATAAATATTTTACAACTTTATTTCTTTAAAATAAAAATATAAGCTTTTAAAATACCATTCATTTAATACTCCATTTATAAAAGAATATTAAAAGAAAAAATATAGTAGGAAATATAATATTAAAAAGACATAATTGATGAAGCCTTACTTTTTTAAAGAATCTTATATTTTAAGGCACCAGATCTTCAAAAAAGTTTCTTATAATTTGAAATTAGGATAATACTCTCTTCAGTCCAAAATATAAACAAATTTTAAGAAAAACTTGCATACAAATGAAATCTTTATTTTTATAAAAATATATTTTATTTTTTATTTTTACTCTTAGTTTAATTATCAATACACTGTATAACGAGTAAAAAATTCATTTATATAAATATATAAGTTAATAAATATGAGGAGTAAAATGTGAAAAAAAAAAATTACATGAAGGAGTACTATTTTATAAGAGTCTGTGGGTCATTAGTGGCTCTATTTCCAAAAATATCCTTCTTATTAATTTTAAATGAGATAATGAAAACGGTATATGGTATGGTACTGTACTAGTCTTATAAGGCACCTTTTATTAATTACTGTATAGTTTTGTGGATCATTAAATTTCTTTTCTTTCACATATTCCCTGTATTACAAATTGTGATATTGGGGAAGAGGGTGGAAGTATGATGGTGGATTGTGGTATAGCTGATAATGGTAATATTAGAAATTAATTTAATTTTATGAATACTTTAATTTAATGTTTTGTTTAACATTTAACTATTTTTCTTGATAATTATGAATCAGTTAAAAATGACTTATATTTAGAATCGAATGAAGAATTTTCCAATCTATAGAAAACCAAAACAATTTTAATAAAGAAGTAGAAATCGTGTAGGGAGAGTTTCACTAAAGACCTCTTAATCATATTTGTTTAAATTCAAAACCCCTAAATTTTTAAAATTATATTATAGTTTATAGGTGCTGATTTGATATTAAATTTCTAATGCAAATAACAAAATTATCCCTCATTTAAATTAATATCAAAACTTACCTATTTTGTTTGTTTATTGTTCTACTTCATTTGTTAATTTACTTATGTAATGTTGTTAATTACCCTATTTAACTTATTTTTATTTTAGATATTTAAATCATCTTAAGACAACATATTGATTTATATATTGTATGCTGTTCATTTGCTTACGTACTCTTGTTTATTGTCTTATTTCACTTATTCGTTATCAGACATTTACTTAATTTCATTACAGAAAAATGAACAAGTAAAGTAATTAAAAGTGACTTATATTAGAAATAGAAATCGTATAGTTTATTAAAAAAAAATAGAAATTGTATAGGTAGAATTTCAATAAGGACTCATTGACCACACTTATTTAAATTCAAAGGCCTTAAATTTTTGAAATTATACTATAATCCTTGATATTAAATTTTTTAGAGAAATGACAAAATTATCTCTCATTTAAATTAATGTCATAACTTTCCTACTTTACTTATTCATTGTCCTACTTCACTTATTTATTTCCTTACGAAATATTGTGAATTGCCTTACTTAACTTGTTGTCATTTTAAATGTTTGAATCATCTTAAGATAACTTGTTGATTCATATATTGTATGTTATTCATTTACTTACTGACTTTTATTCATTGCCCTACTATACTTGTTCATTGCCATACTTTCACTTGATTTCATTCCAAAAAAAATGGACAAGTGAAATAGAAAAATTGATAATATTTCATAAGTAAATAAATAAATGAAGTAGGGTAATTAATAAATGAAATAAGGCAGTTCTAATATTAATTTAAATGAAGGGCAATTTTATTATTTTTTAAAAAAATTAATATTAAATTAGTATCCCAAGACTGCAGTAAAATTTTAAAAATTTAGATGCTTTAAATTTAAATAAGCATAATCAAGGGGTTTTTATTAAAATCTTCCCCATCCTATATGCAGTAAAGTTTGTTTATTGTTTATCCCAAGGCACCTGCCACGTCATTATCGACGCAATTTGTATTTGTGCTCGTTGTGTTGATGAGGACTAACGGTGAAAATAGGATAAATCAAATTAGACTTTAGTTAAATAAGCTTGAGCTTGTGTTGTAAATTAGAGGCTTATCTGACCTAAAGCCTATATAATATTTTTTTAAGGTTCAAGCTTAAGTCTATTAAAGCCTGGCCTGGCTTGGCTTGCAGGCCTATTTAGAAGTTTACTTAAAAATAAAGCCTTTTAAATATGTTCATATTTTAGTTTTAAACATCTCAAATATATTTTAGGGCTATTATAATATATAATATATAACTTAATTTATCAATTATAATATACAAGAATTGAAAAAACTTACTAACTACAATATAATATAACAATAAAGTAATAATATTAAAATTAATATATAAGTTAAATATGATTAAAAATAATTAGAAGTAGTAAAAAATAAATTAATTAAAAATTATATGGTGAAACTAGTGTGTTTGTAATATAGCACATAATGTGTGTGTGTGTGTGTAAATATAAATAGGCCGGTCTATTGGGCTCGTAGGCTAGGCCTTAAAAAAACAGGCCTAGCCTATTTAACTAAATAAACTTAATTAAATACTTGAGTCTGACTTAAGTTTATTTAATAAATAAGTTAGGTTAGGCCTAGGTCCTTGTTAAGGGGCTAGCTTATTTTCACCCCTAATGAGGACATTTTGAATGACGTCAAAGCCGATGTTAGCATTTTTGCCTTTAAAAGGAGATTGATATTATTATTAAATCAAGGGCATATCAATTTAGTTACAATATAGTACAATTAAAATTCCTCAAAAATAAGATGTTTAAAATAATGTTATGTTTCAATGCACATGAATTTAAATTTAGATTTGAGTCAATTTTATTATTTGAATAATTAAAAATATATAGATTTAGATTTAATCCAAATCCAAATCTAAGTTCTCCTTTAGTTTCTTTGTAATTTGAAATCCTTTCTAAACTCATGTTATTTCAAATCTTAACTCAAACTCTTTTGTAATTTGATCTAAATGCATGAAGATTTAATCGACCAGCCAACAGTAATTAGATTGAATTGCCAAAGTTGACGAAAACAAGCTGCCACCGTTGACAGGGATAGGATAGCCAACTTCCACCAGGATCGGATCGATGGCGACGACAAGGATCGAACGGCCGACTTCTATAAGGACCAGACCAAAGGTGATGACGGGGACTGGACAGTTGACTTCCACAGGGACTGGACCAACAACAACAACCAAAATTGAATGGCCGACTTCCACAAGGATCGAACCAACAGTGACGACTGGGATCAAACAACTGACTTCCACTGAGAACGGACTAATGACGATCACTAGGATCGAATGGTAGACTTTTATTGGGACTGAACTAACAACTTCGATGATAAGAATCAAGATTGAACCGACGGCGATGATGAGGACTGAAAGTCCAACTTCTACCAAGCGAGGACTGAACGATTGCCTTTAGTCACCATCACCTTCAGTCTAGTCACTGTCACCATCAATCTGGTTCGATGCCGGTAGAAGTCAGCCATTCGGTCCCCTTCATCTTCGTCGATTAGGTCCCATTCATTACCATCAATCTGGCCCAGATGGAAGTCGATCGGGGGTCCTATCTCGATCATCACCGATGCTACAATCCCAGTCGACTTTGTTTGTCTGATCCCATTCAAAATTGGCCATTCAAATCGTCAAGTTTGACCAATCTTCCAAGTTTCTTTTAAATTTAAAATTCAAATATAAAATTTAAAATTTAAAATTTTACTTTAGATTCAAACAAAGAATTTTAATATTGTAATTTAAATTTTTTTTATCATCCACACAAAGAATTTAGAATTTATGAATTTTAAATGTGATATTTCAAATATGAGATTTTAAATCTAAATTTTTAACTTAAATCCACCCATCCAAACATAACCTAAAATTATTTAATTACACATTATAATTTTCAATCATGATGTGGGACTGATCACACCTTTCAAAAGTTTCATAAATCATATTCTCAACTTCATGAACTTAATTACTCTTTCCTCTTATAAATGTACTCACATATCTCCTTAATAATTTTATTTTTATTTTTATTTTTTCAATCTATTTCATTTCATTATGCTCTAGTAAGCAAACATGACTTTAGTATAATCATCAACATGACCAATATATCCACAAAGGTCATGACAATATGCTCATATTTTATTGTACACTTTGTATACATGCATGAGGGGATGTTTACATAATATATATTATTAAGTAGTAGTAGTTTTAAATTTTCAATGACTAGCAGTTTAAACTTTCTTATGGAAATAACAAAATTGTCCCTCATTTAAATTAATATTAGCACATACCTACTTTGCTTGTTCATTGTTCTACTTTACTCGTTAATTTACTTATGAAATGTTATTAATTACCCTACTTAATTTGATTTTATTTTAGGTGTTTAAATCATTTTAGAGCAACATGTTGATTCATATATTGTATCTTGTTTATTTACTCAAGTACTCTTGTTTATTGCCCTATTTTACTTGTTCATTACGAGACTGTTACTTGATTTTATTCTAGAAAAATGAACAAATAAAGTAATTAAAAGTGACTTTTATTAGAAATAGAAATT